CTACGCAACCCAAGGTCAAACTGATGTGATCAGTAAATACATCTTTTTAAACGCCACAACTTTTATCTGAAACATTTTTTTCTAAAATGCTTAGTTTTCGAGATATTTCACCGGTCCGGGACTTTTTGAACACCCTGTATATATATATATAGCGAAACTAGATTTGTTACAATAACAGTTTATTTAACTGCATGTTTTTTTAATAAAGGAAATAAAACAATTTCACGTATTCTCCGTGCTATAGGAGTTAAAATTGGAGAAGCAACGAGACTATATATGGAGAAGAAAGCGAGAACGATTAAACTCAGAGGAATGCAAGGCGAGTTTCACGTCGAAGGAATGGCTACTGAAATGACTCAAAAAATAAAACAAATACCCAATCAAGACTTTAATGAAGAAGTAGAAGGACTGTTGTATATAATTGTTGTGCTTTTATATATAAGTATTACATACTCATATATAAAAGTATACTTACTTACATACTTTATATATAAGTATTACATACTTTTTATGTATAAAACGTCATTCAGAGACTTTAAACAGGTCCATCTCGAAATCACATTTTTTAATTTGACGATGAAGAAAACTCAGAAACTAATGAACCGATTGTGTTTAAGTTTCATATACATCTTTTAAATCTCTATAGCACAGATTATGGACTTTTTCTTTTTCTATATTTAAGAACTGAGTTTATTTTAGGAGAAAAATCATTCTCTGTTTTTTAAACTTTTCTAATTTTGCCAACTAAAAAAATATTTAATTTCCGTGTTTCATGTCATTAATGGCTGATATTAGATTATAAAATTAATTAAAAAAAAAGATGTCCTTTTAAAAGCAGATTCTTAAAGAATAGTTATTTTCGGGTTATCTAAACAGAGCATCTTTCTTAACCTTCCGTTACCTGCGCGCCTTTTAGAATAAGAATAGTTGCAGATGACCTGAGAGATGTGACATCCACTTATTTTATAGAAACTCCACGTTTTAAATATAATTTTCTTGTTCACTACTTTTAAAATTTGTGGAAACATTAAAATAAAACAAATTTAATGAAACATTTTATTATTTACTTGAAAAACACATTAAACATATAACGTTAAACATACACGTTAAGCATACAATATTTAAAAAAAATAGTACACAATATGTGTATTACATTTTTTTTAAATCACACATAAAACTTTTTTAAAATAAACTTTAGAAAAATAATTATATAAGTAAAAATAATTCTTTCAAATAAAAAACAAGAGATTTAATGTAAAAATTTGTTAGGTGGCAACATTAAAAATACACCAATTACCGCAGCAAACCTGTTAGGTGCTTTTTAATTCCTACAACTCTGATATTGATGATGCGTGCACTGTTCAGAGATAGGAAAGATAGGAAAAAAAATATGGCGCGTGTCTTTCTCTAAACTTTTTTTGTATTTGAAGCATTCTCTAATTATTGATAGAAACGTGGAAT